ATCACCCCTTTTCTGCGGAAGGTGAGGGGTAAGGTGCCCGCTCCTGGGGGCAGCGACGGGGCAGGGCTGGCTCAGGCCTTGCGTGCTAGGGAAGCAGGTGAGCGGGCGGGCAGGCCCCAAGGTCACGGCGGACTAGGGCCGGGGACCCTGTGCAGGCCCCCTCCCCTCGGCTGGTGTTCGCACTTAGGGAAGTTCCTCACCGACGCCCGCGCTTCCTGCCGAGAGCGGGCTGCTCGGGAGGGACGTTCACCAGGAGAGCTGACCGCGCTGAGTGACCGCAGTGCCCCCAAGCCCCCGGCCCTGCCCCGCGCGGGGACGTGCTCCCAGCCTCTGGGCCGTGGGGTGGGGTGAGACCATGCTTTCACCTTCTGCACAGACATCAGTGCAGGTTCTTGAGGGGAACTGAGACAAACAGAAATCAGGAAGTCAGGATGGCGCTGCTTAATTTGTTTGTTTTTAATTATAAACTGCACAAAACATAAAATACGCCTTTTTAGGGTCCAGGTCAGCCGCGTTAAATACACTGCATTACTGTCCAGTACGTTACGGTATTGCCAGGACTTTTTTATCTTAGGAAATTGAAACTCCGTCCCCCTTAAGCAGTGCCCGTCCCCTCCCCCAGCCCTGGCCCACCGTCCTCTCGCTGACTGGACATGACCGCTCTGGTCCCGGTGAGGTGCTGACTTCCCTCAGCCTGACTCCGTCCCCGTCGGGCTGAGTGACATGGTGGAGTCCTGAGAAGGTGGCTGAGCCTCTGACTTAGGAGGAAGCAGTGATGGTTTCCCAGAGGCGGCACGCTGTCCTGCACCAGCACAGGCTTGGGATACAAGGGGCAGTGGGCAGGGCGCAGTGTGTGGGCAGGGCTCAGTGTGTGGGGCAGGTGGGGAGGGCTCAGTGTGTGGGCAGGGCTCAGTGTGTGGGCAGGGCGCAGTGTGTGGGACAGGTGGACAGGGCGCAGTGTGTGGGCAGGTAGGCAGGGCTCAGTGTGTGGGGCAGGTGGGCAGTGCAGTGTGTGGGCAGGTGGGCAGGGCGTAGTGTGTGGGTAGGTGGGCAGTGCAGTGCGTGGGCAGGTGGGCAAGGCGTAGTGTGTGGGGCAGGTGGGCAGGGCTCAGTATGTTGGCAGGGCGCAGTGTGTGGGCAGGTGGATAGGCGCAGTGTGTGGGCAGGTGGATAGGCGCAGTGTGTGGGCAGGTGGGCAGTGCAGTGTGTGGGCAGGTGGGCAGGGCGCAGTGTGTGGCAGGTGGGCAGGGCGCAGTGTGTGGGCAGGTGGGCAGGGCGCAGTGTGTGGGCAGGTGGGCAGGGTGCAGTGTGTGGGACAGGTGGGCAGGGTGCAGTGTGTGGGCAGGTGGGCAGGGCGCAGTGTGTGGCAGGTGGGCAGGGCGCAGTGTGTGGGCAGGTGGGCAGGGCGCAGTGTGTGGGCAGGTGGGCAGGGTGCAGTGTGTGGGCAGGTGGGCAGGGTGCAGTGTGTGGGACAGGTGGGCAGGGTGCAGTGTGTGGGCAGGTGGGCAGGGCACAGTGTATGGGCAGGTGGGCAGGGCGCAGTGTGTGGGCAGGTGGGCAGGGCGCAGTGTATGGGCAGGCCATGCCTCCTGGGCTGGGGGAAGCGGGGCGGGTGGTCCCTCCGCTGGGGAAAGGTGAGGCTTTCTGGGCTCAGGGCCTCACTGCTCATAGCGTGTCCCCCTGCGCGGGGTGCAGTGTGGACTCTCCATGGGAGCGGGCTCTGAGATGCGTGGCAGGACGTTGGATGGTCGTGGCGGAAAGAAGGCCACTGTGCCTTTCCAAGCCGCAGAGGCCTCGTGTGGCCGCTGACCTCAGTGCTGTCTCGGACTGTCGCTCAGGCCCCTGGGACGGAGGACAGGGGACAGACAGAGCGGTCCGGGCTCTGCTGAGCAGAAACTGCCGTCAGAAGACCCTCGCTTGCATTTGCATGTGAACTTCCTGCGGGTCTCTGGGCACCTGCTGTGGCCTGAGCAGGGCGAGTGGGCAGGAGACTGGCTTGGCAGCATGAGCTGCACTGTTCACGGGCCACCAGCTGCAGGAGGCCTGTCCCTTTAAGACATCTCCTTTGTATGCATGGCGTGGGGCACATTTCAGCTCTGGGTTTCTGCCACCGGTGAAATCTGCAGAGCAGCATTTAAATAAAGGAGAAAGAGAAGCTTCCTTGTGTGGTTCTATTCACAGCGGAACACATGGCCCTTGTTGTGGGCCCTCCATCGTCCTCATTAAGTCGGAACCCTGCGAGGGGGCCTAGGCTGGCCGAGGAGAGCAGGGCACCTTGTAAAGAGCCGCGGGCATGCGCCCAGGCCGCCCTGGCCTGCTCCCCGTCCTCGGCGGCCCTCTTTTCAAGAGAAGCGGGCTCAGCGCCTTCTGCCCGGCGCGTGGCTGCACACGTGGCGGCCGGAGGAGGGTGTGTTGCTCGGCCATCTGGCCCGTCAGCCGGCCTCTGCGGCTTAACCCTCGTGGCCCTGCGGGAAAGCCATGGCGTGGGCGCATGCACTTCCTGGGTCCGAGTCGGGGTGGCACCCTGTCCCGCTGTGGCTCCAGGCTCACTCCCCGCCCTGAGCCAGAGCCGGAAACCGGGCGGCACTGCCGGGGGGGTCTTCCCCGTGGGCTTGTGAGAGGGCAGAGTTGATGTTGCATCGATACGTTTGTTCAGAGGAAACACATGGGTAAATGGTAGATTTTGTTCTCATTGCAAAGTTCCAGTAGAAAAATGAGATCTTTTTAAAAAGCTTTCAGGCCGAAGCCAGTTTGGCTCAGTGGTAGAGCGTCAGTCTGCGGACTGAGGGGTCCCAGGTTGGATTCCTGTCAAGGGCATGTGCCTTGGTTGCGGGCACATCCCCGGTGGGGGGGGTGCAGGAGGCAGCTGATCGATGTCTCTCTCTCATCGATGTTTCTAGCTCTCTATCCCTCTCCCTTTCTCTCTGTAAAAAATCATAAAATATATTTAAAAAAAACAAAAAACTGTCCATTCATTTTTAAATAAATAAATAAATAAATAAAAAAGCTTTTAGGACCCAAAGGCGGCAGCGCTGGTGGAGGGGACTGAGTCGGGGAGAAGTCACGGGGTGAGGTGGAGGAAGTGACGCGCTGTCTGTCACTCCCGAAGGCACTGCGGGAAGCTTCCTGTTGGCCACCGCAGCTGCGCCGCTGCCCGCACTGCCTTCACGGTTCGCTTTCTGTTACCGGGCATGCTCCTGGAGTGCCTTCCTACCAGGACTCCTCACTGCCCCTCCCTCCTTCCCTCCCTCCCTCCCTCCCTCCCTCCCGGGAACGCCACTGGTGCTGATCGGTGGGCTGCCAGGCTTCCTCTCTTTTTTTTTTCTTTTTTTTAAAATATATTTTATTGATTTTATACAGAGAGGAAGGGAGAGAGATACAGAGTTAGAAACATCGATGAGAGAGAATCATCGACCAGCCGCCTCTTGCACACCCCCCACTGGGGATATGCCCGCAACCAAGGCACATGCCCTTGACCGAAATCGAACCCGGGACCCTTCAGTCCCCAAGCCGACGCTCTATCCATTGAGCCACACCGGTCCCAGCTCCTCTCTCCTTTTTAACAGATCTTTGTGCTTATTGGTTTTCAGAGAGGAATGCAGAGTGATGGGAGAGGGTGAGAGCTAGAAACACCAGTGAGGAGAGAGACTCATGGACGGCTGCCTTCTGCGCTCCCCCCACTGGGGTTGGAGCCCGCAGCCCAGGCCTGTGCCGGACTGGGAGTTGAACCAGCAGCCTCTTGGTTCCTGGGTGGACGCTCAGTCCCTGAGCCACGCCGGCCAGGCCGGACTTAATGTTCCCACCTCACCGACCCGTCCAAGTCAGAGACCACCTCCCGACCAACGCCCTCCTCCTGCTCTTCCTCCCCTCGCCGCACGCTTCGTTTATCACCCTGTCCTCTTCCTTTGTTTTCCCCGGAACTCCGTACCCACGGCTGCACCCGGATTTCCTGTCTGATCTGGCCTCCCCCCCTACCCCCCCGGTGAAGCCACGGGGCCTCCCTGCCCTCGCACTGTGCCCGCCGGCTCACACCTCTGTCTGCTCCTCCCCTTTGACGTGCTCCCGGGCGGTGGCCTCCCTTGTGTTCTGTAAACCCCTCGCCCACAGGCCGTGTCCACTGGGGACACGTAAGTTATTCTGTGCACAGCTCACGACAAGGCACAGCACTGCCCCGGGAGCCACGCTCTACGCCGAGCTCCCTCTCTTGGGAGCTGCCCCTCGGCTCCCACCGCCGCTCCAGTGCCTGCAGTTCCGGGTTTCCTGTTTCCCGGCAGCGGGTGCTCTGCGGCTCCGGGCCTCCGTTGTAATGTCGGGGAGGCGCCCTGGGAACTGACTCGTTTACCCAGGTGGCCTGTAGTATCCGGGTTTTGGCACGACGCCGGTTTCGGCCCCCCAGCCTCGCCTTTTCGTTCTGCTGAGAGAAGGCCGCGTGGTGCCTCCCCGTCAGATCCGCAGTGCTCCCGCACCTGATGCCGTCATCCCATCATCCCGTCCGTGGCGTCGGCAGCATGGCTGCCTGTGTCCTCCTCGGGGCTGGGGACGTCCCCGTGCTGTGGACACAGCCTCTTCCTGGGTTCTCGGGGCTCACCTTTCCCGAGCCCTCGTGGCCTGCTTTTCCTCCTGCTCGCTGAGGAGTGTTCTGGGGTCAGCGGTTTTGGCTAGAACTATGGAAGCCGCCTCCCCTCCACCCCCACCCCACCCCACACTGTCCCCAGCTGCCCCCAGCCAGGTGGGCCTTCTCCCCTCCTCAGGGAGGCTCCACGGCACCGGTTCCCACGCTTGCTGCCTGCGCATAGTGGGTCCAGCTCTGGGTTTTGCCTGGGAATGAATCCTGGGCACAGAAGGCCACTGCCAGCTGGGACGATGAGACGGGGTGTCAGGGGGCACTTGGAAATCACTGCTCTGGAGCAGCACACAGCATTTGACACCACTTGGATTTCACGTCTAAGTGGCTGGAAACAGCTTTCTCACGCGCCTTCCTCCCCTCTTCCCCCCGGCAGTGCCCAGCGACCTGACTGCCGAGGAGCGGCAGGAGCTGGAGAACATCCGGCGCCGGAAGCAGGAGCTGCTGGCGGACATCCAGGTAGGCATGGCCGTGGGGGCGGGGTGTCCCCGCAGTGTCCCCCACTCACAGCGCCGGGCAGAGTGTGGGTGTGGGGAGTCGTTGCGTGGCACATGGGACAGGGCTCAGGTGAAGGGTCGGGCTCCGCAGTGGACTGCGTCCAGCCTGGCGCTGTCGCCTCCTGGGCGAGTGCCTTCCGTGCCAGCGTGTCGGTCCCTCAAACGCAGTTTCTTCGTCTGTAAGACCCACGGACGACTCCTGCGGACAGGTGGGCGCTGAGCTCCTGTGGTGCAGGACCAGCGCGGCTGCTGGTCCCCGAGTCAGCAGCAGCCCCCGGCCCCGCCATCACTCAGCTCACCAGTCGCTCAGCCCCAGTCGCTCAGCCACAGGTCCGAGCAGTGGTGCTCTTGTCCCTGGGCAGAGTCACCCTTTGGTTGTCGGGCAGCCACGCGCAGGTGGCAGCACTGGGCAGCTGGGCGGCGGGAGGGGTGCAGAGCGCAGACTGCTGCTCGGTGCTGGTCAGTGTCGTGGTCGCTGTCCTCTCTCTGATGCCCGTTCCCCGCTGAGGCCAGGAGAGCCTTGCCCCGTGGTGGCCCCCTGGGTGTGCTGCTCATCTGTGCAAGCAGCGGGAAGCAGAGCCGGGGCCGGGGGGCGGGGGGAGGGCTGCCTTCCCTTCGCTGCGTGGTGCCCGGTTGACCCCTGAGCCCCGGCCTCGGTCCCATGGAGAGGCGGCTGCTGCGTGCTCGGTCTGCGGGCAGCCGGGGGGTGGGGAGGGGCAGCGTCTTTGGCGGCCCGTGTCCGGGCTGGCTGGCTTCGTGTGGCTTCAGCAGCTCTTCGCTGGACCGAGGGCGGCGGGCTGGGCGGGAGGATGCGTGACGGGCTGTGTGTCTTGCAGAGGCTGAAGGATGAGATAGCGGAAGTGGCCAATGAAATTGAAAACCTGGGCTCCACAGAGGAGAGGTGAGTGTGCCCGCGGTGGCAGGGTGGCGCGGCTTCCCGTGCACACACACACCCCGGCCATTGCCGCACAGGTCCCGTGCAGTGTGGGCCCCCTCCCTCCCGTGCCCTGGAGGAGGCGAGGGCCAGGGCGGCCGTGGGCTGCTGGAGGGCTGGCCGTCCCGACCCTTCGTGCCCGCGCTCCCGCCAGCCCCTCAGAGCCCGCTCACGGTAGCGCCTGGAGGCACGGTGGTCTCTCAGGCCCTCGAGGGGCCGGCGATGACGTGGCTGCCGGGCTGTTTTACAGGAAGAACATGCAGAGGAACAAGCAGGTGGCCATGGGCAGGAAGAAATTTAACATGGACCCTAAGAAGGTAAGAGAAGGATGCTCGGAGCCCCAGGCTCTCGGGTACTGGTTCCGCTCACCGCCGTGGTAGGCTCAGCCACGTGGCGGCCCGGCGCTGCCAGCAGCACTGTTCATACATTCCCCCGCACCCAGGCACCACACCCCTGTCCCGTGCCCTCCGGCTTCCTTTCTCGATGTTTCTGGGTGAGCATCACCGTGTCTTCATTGCGCTTTCAGGGGATCCAGTTCTTGATAGAGAACGACCTGCTGAAGAACACCTGTGAGGACATCGCCCAGTTCTTGTATAAGGGCGAGGGGCTCAACAAGACAGCCATCGGGGACTACCTGGGGGAGAGGTGAGCCGGGCAGCGAAGGAGAGCCGGAGGCCGAGCCTTAGGAAGCCTCAGGATGCTGGCTTCTCTTTACGTGTTGCTTTATTACTGATCTTAGAGAGAGGGGCAGGGAGAGGGAGAGGTAGGAACATTGATAAGAGAGACGTCCATCAGCTGCCTCCTGCACACCCCGCGCTGGGGAGGGAGCCCCCAACTTGGGCAGGTGCCCTGACCTGGAATCTAACCCTGACCTCTTGGTTCATGGGTCGACTCTCAACCACTGAGCCACACTGGCCGGCTGAGAATGCTGGGCTCTTGGTGACAGTTTGCCGAGTCGGCAGCACCTCACGGGCTGAGGGGCATGGTCCTGGGGCAGCAGCTGGTGTGCCGCGGTGTGAGGGCGCCTCGTCCGCTCTGCAGGAGGCAGAGGAGACGGTGCCCCCTCCCTGGGCCCATAGGAGGCAGAGCTCAGGGGCGTGGAGACTGCCCGGCCGGGGGTGGGGATGGGACACCATCGGACTCCAGGGTCTAATGCCTGCCTTCCCCACTCCCATTCCCCCAACCCCGTATCTTGTTTTTCTTGATAGAGATGAGTTTAACATCCAGGTTCTCCACGCGTTTGTGGGCTTACACGAGTTCACCGACCTAAACCTGGTCCAGGCACTGCGGTGAGTGCAGGCGAGCGGCACCCGAGCGGGGCCAGGTCCCAGCTCCTCCCTCACAGGGGGCACTCCTCCCATGGGGCTCTGGGGGGGTGGCACTGCCTCCCAGGGGGCTCTCCGGGGTGGCACTGCCTCCCAGGGGGCTCTGAGGGTGGCTCTGCCTCCCAGGGGGCTCTGGGGGTGGCACTGCCTCCCAGGGGGCTCTGCGGGGATGGCACTGCCTCCCAGGGGGCTCTGAGGGTGGCACTGCCTCCCAGGGGGCTCTGAGGGTGGCACTGCCTCCCAGGGGGCTCTGCGGGGTGGCACTGCCTCCCAGGGGGCTCTGGGGGGAAGTGGCAGCGCTGGGCTTGTGGGAACCTGGAAGTGACCTAAGAGACGTCTTCTGAGGTTGGTGATTGGGTCGGTGACTGGACGATGAGGTGAAAGTGAGGGAACTGTGCTGTGTTCTGAGGGACAAACTTGGCAAAACTTCCCCTCAGGTTCTTCAGTGAACGTTCTTTCTGGAGGTGGACGTGCGTTTAAAACTTGACGTCTTACCTCTGATTTGTAGTTTAGGAAACACTTTCAGGTAGCCCTGGCGTAGGAGGTAGTACCGTGCACTTCGTTTTAGAAGCAGTGAACGTAGTTTTCACTGGGCTGTTTGTTGTGCTGAGAAGTGACCGGTGTCCTCCCTGCCTGGGCTCCAGGGGCAGGTCCGCGTGGCCATAGCCTCCGGCTCACGGCCACGTGAGGCGGGGAGTCTGGCTGGCCCCGTGTCCGCAGCCGGGCTCCCTCCGATGAGAGTGGTTCTCAGAGGCCGGGCCTCTCTCACAGGAAGCTGGTTTCACGGCTCCCTGCCCGCCTCACCCGTGCCCGGGACGTGGGGACACCCTGGGCGTAGGTGTCCGAGCGGAGTTACTGTCGGGAGCCCAGCCCGAGACCCTGGCCCTGGAGGAGGTCACGGGATGTAAGGTGCCCGCCGCGTGACAGCGTGTCCCCTCGCAGGCAGTTCCTGTGGAGCTTCCGGCTGCCGGGAGAGGCGCAGAAGATCGACCGGATGATGGAGGCGTTCGCCCAGCGCTACTGCCAGTGCAACCCCGGCGTGTTCCAGTCCACGGGTAGGCAGGCGCCCCGCGGGCTCCCCGGCGTGTGGGTGTTTACCGGGAGAGGGCGGGCGCAGCTGAGTGCGCCGATGAGGCGTGTTTACAGCAGGAAAAAGCAGGAACCCCCAGGGACTCTGCATCGGAGGAGGCGTGTGGATTGTGTCTGAGTTATGTCTCTTAAAGTCATGTTTTTGAAAGTTATTGATATAGGGAAATGCTAATGAGATCGGGTACCTCTTTTAATTCCAGTTTGGTCACAGCATGGCTCAGTGAGGGAGCAAATAAAGCAGGTTCCCGCCAGGTGGGGGATCCTGGGTAACGGATCTTCTCTCGCGTTGCATGGTTTTCCCGATGCTCCGCAGGGTGCCGCCTGTTAAGGTCTGAGAAAGGGGACCCCTTTGAGTCCTGGACACTGTCGCCTGGCCCTCCATGTCGGGCCAGCGGCCTTGACGCACCGCACGCCCTGCCCCCCGGTGGGCACTTCTGAGCGCCTCTCCGCTCCTCTCTAGACACGTGCTACGTCCTCTCGTTCGCCATCATCATGCTGAACACCAGCCTGCACAACCCCAACGTCAAGGACAAGCCCACGGTGGAGAGGTTCATCGCCATGAACCGCGGCATCAACGACGGCGGGGACCTGCCCGAGGAGCTGCTGCGGGTGAGCGCGGCCGGCGGGAGAGCCCTCCGCCGCGGTGCGCGTCCCCTCAGGAGCCGGCGGTGGCCGGCGGGGCCGGGGCCAGAGAAGCTAGTGGGAGCCGCTGCTTTCCCGCTCCCTGGCCGGCCCGAGGCGGCGTCTTAGGCTCCGGAGCCGCCGGAGGAGGAGCGCTCTGTGCTCCGTGCCCAGGGTGCTGTGCGGGGCGGCACGGCGCAGGCGTGTTCCAGACCCAGAGGCAGGCGTGTTGTCTCTCCCAGAACCTCTACGAGAGCATCAAAAACGAGCCCTTCAAAATCCCGGAGGACGACGGCAACGACCTCACGCACACCTTCTTCAACCCGGACCGCGAGGGCTGGCTGCTGAAGCTCGGTGAGTGGACCGGAGCCCGTGAGGGCGCGCACATGCGTGCAGGAGCGTGGGAACACGGGTGGCCGGGAGGCGCTGGGGAGGGCCTTCGGGATGCATTCATTCTGTTGTCACGAGACTCACCTCCAGAAAGGAAGTGGACGCCGTCAGTGCCCAGGGCACCAGTGTGTGGGCGGGACTTCCTGCTCCGTGAAGCAGCCGCGTGCACTTGCCCCCCACCCACCGGTCCTTCCTCCTCCTGCCCCCTCGCTCCCTGGCAGTGCCAGCTGCGTCCATCTCTCCCTCCCATCACACACGTGCTCCCGCACCCAGCATCATCATGCTCTGCATCCGGCTCCACGGGCGTGTGCATGGCGACCCCGCAGCACCCCGACCCAGCCACGCTAACGCCCTCCATTCAGAAGACAAGTCACTCCTCCTCCCGTCGCCCCGGGAGCTCGGGAGCTCCACGGCAGGTCGTGCCGGGAAGGGGCCGAGTCACCGGGAGGGAGGGGGCTTCCAGGCGTGTCCCGCGTGATGGCTTCCTCAGTGGTTCCCGAGCCCAGGGGAGCCTGGACATGGCGATGGCCAGTGTGGCCGCTGAGAGTGCTTTGTTCTGCCTCGGCCTTGGCCAGCCCGGGCCCCACACGGTCGGGGCAGTGGAGGCGGGTCCTGCTGCCCATTGCAGCTGCCACCGGGCGGCGGGAAGGTGAAGTCGCTGCTCAGCTGCTGCTGACACATCTGGGCGCACTGGCGAGGGGGACAGGGCAGGATCCCCTCTTCCCCCGAGGGCACCGCCAAGGCCCATATTTGTGACTCGGCTGTGCGCCCGTAAAGCTGCGGGAGGCCTGGGCTCCCGCCGTAGCCAGCGCTCCGTCCACTCCAGCCAGTGGGTCCTTGCGGCTCAGGCTCCCGCTCACCAACCAGAGGCCTCCGCGCTGCCCTGCGCGGGTAGAGGAAGCCTGCGGGGAAGTGAGCAGGCAGCCAGGTCAGCTGGGCGTCCCTCCAGCGAGAGGTGTGGACGCTGACGTGTCGTCAGCCAGGCTGGGGTTAGACCGGCAAAGGATCGCCTCGGTGCTTGCACCAGGGCACGCAGGTGCATGAGGCCCCATGTGTTTTAAAAAGAAGCTTAAGCATGGTCTCGATCGTTAGGTCCCTGCATTTCGTTCCCGAATCTCACCCCCGTCCTGGGGTCTTCACGGGTGTTGGTTTCCAAAGGCGGGTCCAGCCTCCTGGCGTGGTGTGTGTGTGTCAGTATTGCCACGGAACCTGTACTCTCATGTATACACATGCACGTGTGCATTCATGGGTTTGGGCATGTGCGTTCTCACACACACTAAAAAGTGCCACCAGCTGAAGGAAGTCCCCTCCCCTCCCCTCACTGCTGGGGGTGCTGGACCACGGTCTGCTTCATGAGAGCTGATTGGGGCCCGTGGGGGCCAGGGTTCGGTGGTGCCCGCGGTCCTGCCTTCCCGTGGGGTGGCCAGGCAGCGCATGGCGATGGTTATGTCTGCCCCGCCCCCCTCCCCCCAGCAGTCCTGAATGCCTGTGCAGTGCTCTGAGACTACGGAGGTGGATTCAACTTCTTGGTTTTAATTTTCTTTTCTCCCTCATTTGTATGTTTCCATGATTTTGGCTCTCCTTTTCCTTGCCCCCAACTCCAGGAGGTATGTAACCCCTCACCCTGCTCGCTCGCTCGCTCTGCCCCGGCGCTGACTGCTCAGCCTGCTGGTGGTGTGACTTTGGTGGTTGTTCTTAATCGCTGGTGGTAGTGTCAATGCCGCTTCTAACTTCTCGCACAGTCCCTGGGGAACTGGCAGGCCCGGGACCCGGGGAGGAGTGGCGCCCGGCGGCCAGCAGGGAGGCTCCGGGTGCAGTAGCTGCCCTGCGGGTGGCAGTGCGAGAAGCCAGGAGACCCCGGCTCCTCCTCGGCCACGGCGGCTGTGCTGGCGGGATCCTCGCCCCGTGCTGAGAAAGTGTCCATGGGAGCGGCACGTTCTGGCGTCCCAGCGCCGTGCCGTCCGCCGTGGCCAGAAGGCACCTGGGAGGGAACGTATTTCCTAAACGCAGGGCGACGCCCGGTGAGACTGAACGGAGACTGAGCCAGAAACGCCCGGCAGCTCCGCTTCACGTCCCAGGTGCCGGGGAGGGCATTCCGACCCAGCTCTGTTTTTTATTACTAAGTTACTTTTTTAAGTACCTATGTATTGATTTCAGGGAGAGGGGGAGAGAGAGAATCACTGATGAGCTGCCTCCTGCAGGCCCCCCTCACTGGGGATCCAGCCCACAACCCTGGCCTGTGTGCTGACTGGGAATCGAACTGGTGACCTCTTGGTTCATAGGTGACGCTCAGCCACTGAGCCACGCCAGCCAGGCTTGGCTCTGTTTCCGTTCGTCTCCCTCCCCTTTCAATGAGGTCACTAACACCGCAGGCCGGCCTTAGTTAGCCGTCAGGGTCCCCTTTGCACTCACTGGTTTGGGGAACGTGGTTCCCCAAGTGAGGGGCTCCCCAGCGTGGCAGAGCCGCCCGGAGAAAGAGCCACGGACGGCACGTAAGGCAGCATTGAGGCTGGCAGGTGCCCATGCCGGGACAGCCGCCTCTGCCTCCCCTCAGGCGGGACCTGAGCCGTGTGGCTGTGAGTTCCACGGGGACTGTCCGCGGTGCGCTGCCCTGTCTGCTTGTCCACGTCTGCACCTCCCCGGTGTCCCCGGGCGCAGGGAGCTGCCTGGCGGAGTCAGGGGCGGCCCGGCTTTCCCGTCGGGGAGGGCTCTCAGCTTTGCTCTGCTGCTAGACCCCCTCCCTCTGGCATCGGCCTCCCATGGCCTCCTGAGCCCCAAGTCCCCGGGGCCCCGCACGGGAGTGCATGGTCATTGAGGGGCAGGTGTCCGTACTGAGCCCTGTGTGGGGATGGAGGCCCAAGAGGTGGGAGAGCTGAGTTCTTGGACCCCAAAGTGGGGAGGGGTCCTTGTCTGTCCACCCAGCTCTGCTTCTAAGTAGACCCACGTCTTCCTTTCCTCACGCCTTCGGTCCGCCCAGCCTTCCCATTGCCACGTGCATGTCCATCTCCACCCACGGCCCCACCCGCCTCGGGACCAGAGGGGCAGTCCTCACCGCTGGGGGAGGGGCCAGCCTGCCCCTGGTGCTGGGGGTCAGCCCTCCCTTCCGGGGCTCAGGCCACACAGCCCGCCTGCACAGGGCCCTATGCTGCGGGCTCTCCCACGACACCCCTCGCCCTGCAGGCACCCCGGAGGTGGGAAACACGCCCCCAGCCGCGTCCACGAGGAGGGGAGAGGGCCGGGCGCACTGCCCTCGCCCCGTGCGGATTGGGGAGGGGAGGCTCTGCTCCCGGTGACGTGCAGCGGGCAGGGCTGCGCCGCCCGCAGGACGCGCTGAGGGAGCCGTGTCACACTGAGGCTCCGGTCACTGTAGGCTCAGCAGAGGGCTGTCCCTCGACTTGACCAAAGTGGAGGGAAAGGATGGGTCATGGTTGTGACCGAGGCAGAGGCCTTGTCCACGCGGCCAGGCCCCCTCCCTCCCGGACCACCTTCCCGGGACGGCGGCCACTTGTGCCACTTGTGTGCTTCTCGCTGAGGACAAGGGAGCCCCGCTCCCGGCTGCACTCGCTGCTCAGGAGGCCGCCTGCCTGTTTGCTGAGGCCTCCCCTGAGCACGCCCCTGCTGCCAGGAGCCCCCGAGACAGGACTCTGCTCCGGAGGCTGCAGCTGGTTGGGGTTCACGGCCCAGGAGGGTGCGGCCCCCGTCCAGGAGAGCTGGTTCCTCGGCGACGGGATGGAGTGTCCTCCCGTCCCCTCCCCTCCGTCGGGGCTGCATGGCGGACGAGGCGGCCCTCTCCCTCGTGTTGAGAGAAGCTCCCAGCCCAGTCAGACCTGCGCTGCGTGCCCTCTGCCCGCTCCCTCCGCCCGCCTCATCCTCATCGCTTCCGGCCTCGCCTCGGTGCCGCCTGGCTTGCTTGCTGTGCTTGCACCACACACTTGCACTCCGTGAACGGTGCTCTGTCTGCTGTGTTTGTCACCGCTGTCAGCTTGCCATGGTCTCCGTGTCCCTGGCCCTTGCTCCTCCTCGCCAGGAGGGCTGCGGGCTGCGGGCCCCCGGCCTCCGTCCCACACGCATCTCCTCCTGTCCGCAGGCGGCCGCGTCAAGACCTGGAAACGCCGCTGGTTCATCCTGACCGACAACTGCCTGTACTACTTTGAGTACACGACGGTGAGCTGGGGCCGCTGCCAGCTGTCTGGCCGGCTGTGTGTGTGTCAGCTGTCTGGCCGGCTGTGTGTGTGTCAGCTGTCTGTCCGCCTGTGTGTGTGTCACCTGTCTGGCCGGCTGAGTGTGTGTCAGCTGTCTGTCCGGCTGTGTGTGTGTCAGCTGTCTGTCTGGCTGTGTGTGTGTCAGCTGTCTGTCCGGCTGTGTGTGTGTCAGCTGTCTGTCCGGCTGTGTGTGTGTCAGCTGTCTGTCCGGCTGTGTGTGTGTCAGCTGTCTGGCCACCTGTGTGTGTGTCAGCTGTCTGGCCACCTGTGTGTGTGTCACCTGTCTGGCCAGCTGTGTGTGTGAAGCTGTGTGGCTGGCTGTGTGTTGGTACCTGTGGGATCACCAGCTCCTCTGCAGGAGGGCCAGAGAGGGGGCAATGGGGTTGCTATGCCCTGGGCAGGAGTTGAGGTGCCTGGTGGGTCCTGGGAGAGTTGTGGAGCGCCCTCTGTTTGAGGTGAGGAGAGGCGGTAATTAGCGGAGAAGGCCCTGTGACAGCTCTGGCCTCCGACACTGGGGCTCCTGGACCAGACGAGGGCCTTTGGGGGAGGCTGACTCGGAACTGAGGCCGCCCGCTGAGCAGGGCAGCAGCAGCCACCTCCTCCAGGGCCAGCCCTGGACCCGGGCGTGCTCTCTGCCAAGGCCTCTGGTGCTGACTCAGGCGCTGGGGCTCGCACCCGGCCAGGGGTTCTGACCTGTCCTGTGTGAGCATCAATGTGGCCCCGCTGAGAGAGGAGGTCTGGGGGGGGCATGGAGCCGGGCGTCACCCACTGAGCCCGTGCTCCCTCCTCCCCAGGACAAGGAGCCCCGGGGCATCATCCCGCTGGAGAACCTGAGCATCCGGGAGGTGGACGACTCCAAGAAGCCCGTGAGTGCCTGCCGGGCGGGGACAGCGGGGCAGGCGGCAGGCCTGGGTGCGGCTCTCACCGCGGAGGTGCGGGCCGTGACCGCCGCGGGCCATTCCCGAGCTCAGGTCACTCAGGGACTAAGTGACCGCTCTGGTTCCAGAACTGCTTCGAGCTGTACATCCCGGACAGCAAGGACCAGGTCATCAAGGCCTGCAAGACGGAGGCGGACGGGCGCGTGGTGGAGGGCAACCACACCGTGTACCGCATCTCCGCCCCCACGCCTGAAGAGAAGGAGGAGTGGGTCAGGCGCATCAGGTAGGCGCCTCGCCGCCCGCTCTCCCGTGCTGCTGGCGCCGGCCCGGGTGCGGTGGGACCGCAGGCCGCTCTCCCGGGGGCGGGCAGGCTCCTGCACAGGTGCAGGCTCCGGCGCTCGCAGGTCCCTGCCGCAGGAGCGGTGCTCACGGGCGGCTTGCTCCCGCTCTGCCTGCGCAGCCTGTGAGGGCGCTGCCTGCCCGCGTGCGAGCTGCTGCCGCCCTCCCCTCCGGCTCCCGCCCGTCAGCTGTGCCCCGGTGCTCCCCGCGCCTCTCCCCGTGGCGTCCACGCTGACTCGAGGCCCGGGGATGGGCGTTGTCCCGCGAGGCCCGCCTGTCCTGAGGGTCTGGCGCTCCACAGTCTGCCCTTCTGTGGCATCTCCACCAAAGCCAGCGCCATCGGCCAGGCAGGCTGTGAGCAGGCGACACCCTCCAACCTCAGCGGTCCCCGGGACACGCTGTGGGCGCTGCCATTCTGGCGTCCCCAAAGAGCCCTGGGGACATTGCTCATGACAGCGTCGCTGGTGAACACCCCGTCCTCGCAGGAGCTGGCACTTGCCGGTCAGGGCAGAGCCGGCGGGCCCGGGCGGGGAGCTGCCCTGGAGCAGGTGGCGCCTGGCCGCCGCGTTCCTGGAAAATGAGCTCAGATCCACGCCTCCCCGAGCACAACCTGCTCGGTGGGCACTCGCACTGCTCAGTGCCGGGCCCTGGTTATGGGCACTCAGAAGTGACCCGGCGGCCAGCACGGCTCAGGGTTGAGTGTTGACCTGTGAACCAGGAGGTCACAGTTCCATTCCTGGTCAGAGCACAGGCCTGGGTCACGGGCTCCATCCCCAGTGCGGGGCGTGCAGAGGCAGCTGATGGATGATTCCCTCATCGTTGATGTCTCTCTCCCTCCCTCTCTGACGTCAATACAAACACTTAAATGGACGCGGGCAGACTGGCCGCCCTCCGAGAGCACCGTGCAGCTGGGCTGGCCGGGTGCGGGTGTCACTGCCCTGACGGGGCCGTCATGGGACTGAAGCACAGGCCTGTCTCCCCGAGTTAGGCCACAGCCGAGAGAATGCCCCCCATCTCTCCCTACGAGCACCCCTCGCTCGGCTCGTCGCCTGCACCCGTGTCTCCCCTTGGCCGGCGGGCCGCACAGCCGGCCGCTGCGGGCCTGGACAGGCAGGGCGCAGGCACAGCGGTCCTCGCCCTTCCTCAGCCTCCCCACTCCCTCCTGTTCCAGGGCCGCCATCAGCAGGGACCCCTTCTACGAGATGCTGGCCACGCGGAAGAAGAAGGTGTCCTCCACCAAGAGACACTGAGCGCCGCCTCCTGCCAGCTTCGCCGTTGGTTCAGCGGAGCCGCAGGCGGCGCTCGGCGAAGGAGCTCCGGCACAGCCGCGGTCTCTGCTCAGCGCCGGTGCCGAGCCCGGGGACAGTGCCGCTCGGTTTCCCGGGAGGAAGCTCCAGCCCACTCAGGACCCGTGCTCCCGGAGTGTCCCGTCGGGAAAGCGCATGGAAGAGGAGCCACGTCCTATGAAGATATATTTTTTATTTTGTTTTCTTAAAGAGGAAGACGAAGCAGAGCTGTACACGTGCATCCTGCCCGTTGGCAGGAGGCCTCTCCCTGGGCAGCTGCTAAGGGCGTGGGCCCTGAGCCGGCGGCAGAGGAGCAGCAGGGACCTGACCCTGGCACACCGTGCGGGCGGCGTGCCCCGGGCGCCAGGAGTGCCGAGCGGGAGCACCTGCCAGACCCTCGTGCTGCTCGGCTCTCGGCATCCACGCCCGCAGGGCTTTAGGATAGAAAGCGTGTGTCTGCGCTAAACGCCTGATAACAGAACTGCGGCGGCCGCAGAGCCCGGCACCGGAGCTCCCGTGTGGCTCTGCTCCCCGGGAGGGCAGCCTCCCCTCCCGCTGCACCTTCCTGCGCACCCTCCCCGGACACGGCCGGTGAGCCCGCGGGCGGGAGCCGGGCGGCAGCGGCTGTGCCGTGGCTTCGCTGTCCCTCTGGCGGGGCGGGCCGCCCTCCGCCTGTGGAGGGCCTGGCCCTGCTTCTCTCAGGGACCGGCTCCTGTCGCCGCAGCCAGACAGGAGGGCGCCTGCAGCTCTGCAAACAGCTTTCGAAAGGGCAGGCGGGAGGAGGGGGCTCTCCCCCCCGCCCCCCCACAGGTCCTCCCTGGAGTGGCTTGGGCGCTTTCACGCCGGAGCCGCCAAGGCGACAGGTCCGGCTGGACCCTGAACTGCGGGCCGAGCGGAGCCCGCCCGGCCGGCGTCCGTGTTAGTCTATTTATCAGAGTGTAAATTATCTGTATAGTTTTCTCCTTTCAGATTATTTTGTATTTGTTTAAAAAAAAAGTTTGTCAAAATATAAAATATAAAGAAAGCTGTGGACAGGGTTTTTAAAGAATTACAATTATCATGCCAGTGGCTTTGTTCGGTTGGGCTTTTCTTTGTAAACCAGCGCCAAGGAAGCGCAGCAAATAAACTCGTCTGCCCGCGTGGCCATCGGGTCTGTCTGTCCCTCCCCGTCCGCCCCCTGCCTCCCTCCCACTGAGCCCCGCTTCTCAGCCCCGACTCCCCTGGCTGCTCTGCCCTCCCTGAGATCTGGGGCGACCCCCACCCCCACCGTGTGTGTCCCTGTCAGCGCCTGCCTGTCCCCCGCACGGGCCCTCTGGTTGGGAAGGAACGTTCTCCATCGCCCGGCTTGCCATCTCCCGTCACCACCGAGTTTCCTTTCACAGCCGTGTCCCCAAACCGCCAGGACGGGAAGGCCTGGCCCCGCACCGGCGAGGAGGCCAGAGCGCTCAGGGATCGGGACGCCCCGCGGGGCCGCTGGCGCCATCCGGGCCGCCCGCTCTCGGCCTGGCCTGACCCACGGGCAGAGGGAGGATGGGCGCCACGTGACCCACTCTCCCAGGTAGTGAGTGTCTGGATCCGGGTCTGTCCTCTGAACCTGGGCCCTGCAGCCACTGCACAACACACGTATGTTGCCCACAGCAGCCACTGCACAGCACGTGTGTCACCCATAGCAGCCACTGCCCAAGCACACGTGTCACCTGGCTGCATGGCTCAGAGGTTGAGGTCAGTCTGTGAACCAGGAGGTCATGGTTTGATCCTGGTCAGGGCATGTGCCCGGTTCGCAGGCGTGGTCCTCAGTGTGGGGCGTGCAGGGGGCAGCCGATTGGGGATTCTCTCTCATCACTGAGGTTCCTGTCTCCCTTCCTCTCTGACATCAGTGAAAATACGTTTAAAAACACGGGCATCCATGGTGGCGGCGGCGGTTCACAGGACGACATTCTGGTGTGACCGGCGTCCAGTCACGCTGATGGCTTATGAGGCGAAGCTCTGACCCCGGACTCGGCCGACTCCTGTCCGAGACGAGCGCAGTTAGCGAGGCGGCGGCACAGGGTCCTCGGTGGTGGGCAGCTCCGGCCGAGCCCGGCCCCTGTGAGCGCCTGCAGGGCTCTCGCCTACCCTCCTCCCTCGGAAGTGGCACCTGAGGCTCCGGGCCCCTGGGGGGCCGCTCTGGCCGCAGGAGGGCTGCTCCGCTGTGCCCACCCCGGGCATCCGGCACCTGTTCGGAGCTGGCGTGGCAATCACGCTCACGGTTCCACGGATAGTCCAGTGCCTGCTTCACTGATGAACGCCCGTCCGATAGCCAGCGCCCTCTGCGCGGAGGGGGGGGACTCCATCCCGCTATGTGTGTGTGGGGGGGGTTCCCAGCCCCCACAGTTTTGGTGCCTCTCGTCAGAAACCAAAAGAACTTTCCAGGGCTCGTGGCCCCGAGGAGAGGACGGCGCTCTGTTATCACACCACGCGTCCATTTCCAGGCTCCTCTGCCCGCGAGGCAGTTAGGCACCGGCCAGTGAGGTTCCGCTCCCCTCCTGCTGGCCGGCCAGGTCTCCTGACACAGGACGGGAGGACAGCGCTGGTCTGTTCCCAGAAGGCCGTCCATTGGGCTCAAATAAATTCCTATAAAAAAAACTTTTTTGATAAGTAAATGAGCAGGAGGGAGTTTCCTTTCGGATGTGTGATAGAGTGGTCACAGCCCCCGGGACGGTCCGTGGGGGTCCTGAACAGCAGGAAGACTCCCCAGGAGCGAGCAGGGCGGTGTCAGCAGGTGGGACGGTATTTGGCGACGAGGATCAATGTAGCCATGGAGATAATTCCCAACAGCTGCTGCTCAAACAGGAGGATCTGCAGGAAGGATGCTGCTCAGCAATGGCCATTTTCTCGTTTCTTGTTAAAATGCGTCCTTTGTGTTACAGAACCAGGGCGTGTGCGTGTGTGCGTGCATGTATGTGTGCTGGGCCAGGGAGGAGCCCCGGATGGCCCGGCCCCCGCTGTCTGCCAGAGCCCCCAATCCCTGGAAATTGTCCTGAAATGGTAGTTAACAGGGCCGTGTCTGCCGGAGACGGGTCAGCAGAGGGGGAGGGCTCTCGGGGGGCAGGGCATGGAGGGTAGCTGTGGGGGCCGTGGCCGCAAGAGGGAGGGGCAAGGAGGGAGCGATCGCAGGCAGCGCGGCCGACAGAGCTGCAGGCAGGACGCTTCCGGCCATTCCCAAGGCCTCGTGCCGGACGGTCCCGTGTGCCCTGGAGCGTGTGGCTCCCTCTCGTGGCCTTCGCTTGGCGGCGGCTCCCACATGTCTCTCCTCCCCTCCAGGCAGCGCCGGAGCCTGGCGCTGCCGTGTGAAAGCCAGGGGTCCCCCGGCCCCGACCATGACCGTGGCTCCCCAAGTGCTTGGCCCTGTGTCTCGGATGCAGACCCGGGACACTGTGGTGGAGGGGCCTGGCTACCACCTCCATCTCATGTGCAAATCGCCCCCAGAGGAGGTGAAAATACAAAATGCCCGAGTCCAGCCCGGCCCCGCGGCTTCGCGGTGGGCGTCGACCCAGGAACCAGGAGGTCCGGGTTCGATTCCCGGTCGGGGCACTGGGTTGTGGGCTCGATCCTCAGTGCGGGGCGTGCGGGAGGCAGCCAATCTCTCCCTCCTTCTCTGAAGCCAATAAAAGTCTGTTTTTAATGGCAGAGTCAGATGGCGGCAGGAGCGGAAAGGCAGGGCCCGGCCGGCGTGAGCACCGGGCAGTCCGCGCCCGGTCCCTGTGCCGCCAGCTCAGCGCCTCCAGCTCCGGGCCCTGCCGGAGACCTCGCACCCGGGGCCTTTCCTCGGTGGCAGGAGCGGAGGGCTGTCCTCTGCTCACGCCCGCCACTCAGGTCGCCAGAAGGTTCTAGAAGCCCCAGAGCTGAGGGGACCCGGGGTTCTGTGGCAGTTGGAGCCGTTTGAGGGAAGGAAGCCATTTCCTTTGCTGGTCTCCGGAGGAGTGCCCGTCAGTGTGCCCTGCTGGCCCCTGGGCAGCGTTTGCCGTCAGCTGGTGAGGGGCCCTCGGCCGGGGGAGGGGCCCCAGGCCCCAGAGTCCTGCTCCTGCTCAGGCCGGCCGGGTGGGGGGAGGTGCTGGGGCCGGTTGGGGGGCGGGGCCGAGCGGGGTTGGGGGGCTGGGTTGGTCGAGGTGGGGTGGGGGCTGAGGACAGTTTGGGCGGGGGCAGTCGGGGTGGGGGTGCTGGGGCCACTTGGGGTGGGGTGCTGGGGCCAGCCGAGGGGGCCAGGGCTGGGGCCAGTCGGGTGGGGTGCTGGGGCCAGGCGAGGGGGCCAGGGCTGGGGCCAGTTGGGGCGGGGGCAGTCGGGGTGGGGGTACTGGGGCCACTTGGGGTGGGGTGCTGGGGCCAGGCGAGGGGGCCAGGGCTGGGGCCAGTCGGGGTGGGGTGCTGGGGCCAGTCGGGGTGGGGTGCTGGGGCCACTTGGGGTGGGGTGCTGGGGCCAGGCGAGGGGGCCAGGGCTGGGGCCAGTCGGGTGGGGTGCTGGGGCCACTTGGGGTGGGGTGCTGGGGCCAGGCGAGGGGGCCAGGGCTGGGGCCAGTCGAGGGGGCCAGGGCTGGGACCAGTTGGGGCGGGGGCAGTCGGGGTGGGGGTGCTGAGGCCAGTCGGGGTGGGGGCTGGGGCCAGGCGAGGGGGCCAGGGCTGGGGCCAGTCGGGTGGGGTGCTGGGGCCAGTTGAGGGGGCCAGGGCTGGGGCCAGTCGGGGTGGGGGTGCTGGGGCCAGTCGGGGTGGGGTGCTGGGGCCAGTTGAGGGGGCCAGGGCTGGGGCCAGTCGGGGTGGGGGTGCTGGGGCCAGTCGGGGTGGGGTGCTGGGGCCAGTTGAGGGGGCCAGGGCTGGGGCCAGTCGGGGTGGGGTGCTGGGGCCAGTCGGGGTGGGGTGCTGGGGCCAGGCGAGGGGGCCAGGGCTGGGGCCAGTCGGGTGGGGTGCTGGGGCCAGTTGAGGGGGCCAGG